ATTTTGACACATCACACATAAATGGAGTATAACTTCTTATTTGTCTGGTTGTACATGATATAGAGTTACACAGGTAATTTTGGGCAATTTTAATACATTTTAGCATCAGAGAGTATAAATTACCTAGCAGTTCAGCTACTCATAAAATGCTACAGCCCCATAGTCTGCTACTTTAAATGCTAAGTAAATTTGTAATCCATGAAAAATACAAAATGAAGGGGAAAACATGGTTTTATTTCAAAGCATCCATGTCATGTAGACTATCCTAATTCACTCCCATTGTGGCAGGTTTATACAAGTTTATATGGATATATAACATTAATTTACTTTTACTTTCGGACAGTGGGGTGTTTTGTTGATGATATTGTTTTAGTAAGAAAAATTCATCATCGATTTCATTATATTTTATTGAATGCAGCCTAAAGCATACCATGATATGAATATAAGAAATTAGAAATTCTAAGGCACTTGGCATAGGTGTGAATACAAGGGCCAGTCTGCATTCTCTGGTTATGATTCACACTACTTCTTCATTTCCAGTGTTCTACATCAACGTTTTCAAAAACTTCACAATAAATACTACTACTGTCCCAAACTTAATAAATCCTTGATAGTTTTCAAAGAATAAATGAATACTTGTCACTCATCTTGGTGGAAATGAAATAAAATCACTAGTCTAGAACTTCAGAGAGACAGTTCTAATCCCAATTCTTATTCCTGAGTTACAGAAAATTATTTAAAATGATATGTTTTAACATTATGGATTAAGTAGCTTAAAATGACACATTTTTAGCAAATGGGGTAGAATTCCCAATTAAAGGAAAAAATTTCAAAATTCAATAATGTGATAGTCTAAATCAAATTACTATCATGATATAACACTTGAAAAATTACCATAAAGATAAAAAAAGAAGTGAAGTCTCCACATATGCAGCATCCCAACAACACAATACTCGCTGATATACCTTACATGTGAATCTGTGTGTTTTTGTCAAAGAAAACCCCAATTTTTGTTTTGTTTGCCCAAGTTTTTAGAATATGTATAAGAGAAGAACTTAACTATTTGGGTGTTCTACTACATAATAAAGTTCAGAAAAAGCCATTCAATGCCAATCCCATTTATTTTGCCAAAATCTTGACAGTATATAAGGTTAAGAAAGGATTTTTATAAAAGACTACTATTCTATACACATAGACACCACTAGCATATACTGTTTTCCTATAAACATATGAATTCTATTTATGAGTAAATTGTAATTCCACAAGAACTACTAAGTACTAAATATGATGTGCAAGAGAACATTTTTTAAAAATATTAAAAGAAATTAACCATTTGCCATAGGTGACAGAATGAAGATAAGTCTACAAATGAACACAAGTGACATTAAATAACAGCTATAGGACTTAGTGGAAGCACTATTTAATGTAGGTTGGCTTTAGAATAAGGAAACAATTATTTCGATAGTCCTTTCAACATTTCTATTCAGAGTTATATTGTTTCTCCTACATATACATAAAGTGAATTTTCACACGTGGAAAAAAATTCTAAAATAGTATATATGCCATCAGAAATAAATCAAATGGTAATTAAATGTGTAATTATGAATGCAACAGAAACATTATAACTTCTGTACTGAAACATTCCAAGGACCATCATTAGACCTGCCATACATACAATTATTTAGCAAGGTAAAAAAAACTGTCAATGGAAGAAAAAGGAAACAGTAATTTAGGTAATACATCATTAAAGTCTCGAGATTATTCCTGACAATGTAAAGCAGAGGAAATAATAAATGCTAAGGAAGAGAAATGATGAAAACACAGGGCCAGCTAGTCCTACCAACAGTCCATGAAGGGTTGCCGCTATTTTCAGAAAAAGTCTCACTGTCCTAACCTCATGAATGTATCTACAGAATTTTCCCTGTTTTGCAAACATTAGGGAATATAATACTAGAAAATAAATCTCCATGACAAAGCTATATCACAGGAAGTGTCTTAAATTTGTAAGTATAAAGATCCACATATCATTAACTGACAAGCAAGTCTTTACCTGGCAACCCCTCCATAATCAAGGCCTTCTTCTCCACGAAATTTTATCATTAATCTCTTCCAGAGATCTTTTGGTCTCATTTTCATCACCTGTCTATATGACTCCTGAAAAAAAAATACATATATATTATTATTAGGTGTTTTTAACCTATTAAACTCTCCCACCCATCTCACTCACAAAACACAATTTAAATAAAGTGAAATTTGTCCATTAAATCAATGAATAAATTCCAAATATTTTAAAACGCACAATATTTTGAAAAACAAAATAGATATATAGCTTAATCCTTCTGAAAGCAATTTATTTGATAAATATTGTATGAAAACCCTACTAGGTACTAATAATGTTTTCACTCACAATCAAAAGAGAATTTGGTAGAAGAGCAGATTTTTTTAAAAGTTGGTTGAACTAATCTTAGATTACAGGCACCAGTAAAGCAAGTGTAAGAAAAACAAAGTTCCAAAAGAAAATCAGCAATCATAAAGTGGTCTTCACTACATAGACAGCCTTATATCATTTTAAAATATGAATAGTAGACTACAAACAAGGTCAGAACTGCTCTGAAAGTAAAAAGTGCATCCTAATTTAGGAAAAGGGTTATCAGGTTCCAAATGTCTTTTGTACAAGAATCCTCTAATGGATGGGAAACCCCTACCTTTGGCCTCTACCGAGTATTATGACAAGAATTTTGAAGCTGGCATTAGGACCATAATCCAAGGATAAAAGTATATAACAGAAAGATTTTCAATAAATTAAAGAAGTAGTCCAACAGTAATCAGACAAAATAATTATTTTTTAATTAGAGTCCCTTAACTTTCAGAAGAATCAGAAAGCAAGGGATAGATAATACTTGGGGCCTTTATCTGTTATAATCTATACTAACATGGGCTGGGGCTGTAACTCAGTGGGAGAGCACTTGCCTAGCATGGATGAAGCATTCGGTTCAATCTTCAGCACCACATAAAAATAAAGAAATAAAATAAAGGCATTCTGTCCATCTACAACTACAAAAAAAAATTTAAAAATAAATAAATAAAATTCACTAACAGGTTAGGTGTGGTGGTGCATGCCTGTGATCCCAGCTGCTCAGGAAGCTGAAGCAGGAGGATCACGAGTGAGAACCTGTATCTAATAAAATACAAAAAGGGTCTGAAGATGTGACTCAGTGTATAAGTGTTCCTGGGTTCAATTCTCAGTTCCAAAAAAATTTTAATTAATTAATTAAGAAAAATAGAATTCACTAATAAATAAGAATTTGCAATGCAGGGACCAAATTGAACTAAGGGGAACATGTGGCACTCTTCATTCCATTTAATGCCTATATCACATACTGAGTATCTCCAATATTACTGCCTTTACTTCCCACAATTAAAAAATATAAATGAGAATACTTCCATTTGAGAGGGATATGAATCCCAAAAAAGTATTCTTCGAAAAGGGAGAATAAAACACTAAATTTAATTTTCCTCTATTTTAAAATAAGACTTGTCAAAAAAAAAAAGATTTCCAAGTTTACCTCAAAAATCTCTTCCCTGGAAACCTCAATGCGGCAGTGGCCAGCCTGAGGCTGTTGTTGGGAAAGTTCTTGCCGCAAGACTTTCAGTTTCTGAACCAGGTCTCGCTTGTACCTTGGCACTGTCAGACACTCTGTCTCATCAGGGCATAATGAAACCACTTGCTGTTGCTGTTGGTCTTTCAACTGGTTCTGCCGACTGGAAGTAACAGAAATGCTATTATGAAAGTATTTTAAATTAAAAAGATTGCTATTATACATTTAAAATATCAAATACCATCAAACTGTAAATCAAGTCTAGCTGTATCATTTGCCAAGCCTTATTAGGACATATGGTCAGCCTAATTTTTGGGGGGGGGAGGGGGGCAACAATAAACCAGTTTCCAAAGTTTATTTCTTATCATCCACAATAACTGATAGAATTAGATAATGAAGTTTTATCCACAAAGCTTTATACTGCTGCTGGGAACAAATTTTTCAAATACCATTTCCATTTTCCTCTACATTTTTCCATCACTCATTTTAAAATTCAGGCAGATGCCACCACTGCTTGCTATCTTGAGTCTGTCTTTCTGGAAGAGCCAAACAAAAGTTTAAATTGGCAGCATGGCAATTATCTGTTATAATCTATACTACAACAATTTGGGAGATCATGTTTAAGTTACTGTCACAGAGAAATAAGCACTTTACAAACAAGTCTAAGTACTTTATAAAAATGACTATTTCTCTGTGTGTGTATGTGGTAAAATAAATATAAATAAATTTCAAAGACACTAAGAAAATTCACTGTTGGGCTGAAGTGACGTCTAACTACACATATAATACCACAACATGAAAATAATGCTCCAAGTACATAATAATAATAATAATAATAATTTAAGAGACACTTTATCTACATATGTTTTTATTCTCCTGACACAAATTCTTCTTTTTGTTAATATTTATTTTATATTTTTTTTAGTTTTTCGGCGGACACAACATCATTGTTTGTATGTGGTGCTGAGGATCGAACCCGGGCCGCACACATGCCAGGCGAGCACGCTACCACTTGAGCCACATCCCCAACCCTCCTGACACAAATTCTAAGTTGCACTTGAGATTTTTAAAAAAGAACTCTATAATATAATGAAGTAGTTAATTCCAAAAGTTTGTCAGAAAATAAAGTTATAATTTATTATTGATATTTATGCAGACACCAAGTGACAAAGATGGAGTTTAAAATTAATTTTACATGCAATAGATAAGAAAATAATCTCTCTTAACCTACAGGAAAGAGTAATGGTAGTGATGATAAAATTCATGAAAATAACTCAGTTTGTTAGCAGGTCATCCTAATTTACTTTACATATAGTGATTCTCACACCAGGGCAAATTTCATGTCTAAAACATAACCATACAAACAGCATTTTTGAAAATGTCAGTATTAACTGTTTTTCTAAACATAATAAAAAAGGTGTTATTACATATATACACACACACATACACACACACTCAATGTTATAAAAAGTATTCCCTTGGGCTAGGTTTTGGCTCAGCAGTAGAGCGCTTGTCCAGCTTGTGTGGGGGCGCTGGGTTTGATTCTCAGTACCACATAAAATAAAATAAAGGTATTGTGTCCAACTACGACTAAAACAAAATATTTTTTAAAGTATTCCATAAAAATTATATAATCCTATTTTTAAAAAATTAACTTGGGGGACTAGGGACATGGCCCAGTGGTAAAGAACTGTTTGGTGTATGTGAGGCCCTGGATTTAAGTCCCAGTACTACAGGATGGGTTGGGGAAAACTTGGGTATATTTCATACCAGATACAAAAACTAACTCAAAATGGATCATAGACCTCGGTGTAAAATCTAAAACCTTAAAACTTGTAAACAGAGGAAAATATATTTATAACCTGTGTTAGGCTATGATTTCTTAGATAACACAAGAACAAGTGAATAAATTAAACTAAAAAATTTTAAAGAAAATTTCTGCTTTTAAAAATGCACCAACAAGAAAATGAAAAGACGAATCATAGACTAGAAGAAAATCTTTGGAAAGCATATATCTGACATGTAAATATCCAAGAACTCTCAAAAACTCAATAATAAAAACTAAACAGCTCAAGGGGGCTGGGGTTGTAAGCTCAGTGGTAGAATACTTGCCTAGCATATATGAGGCCCTGGGTTTGATCCCCAGTACCACATAAAACTAAAATAAACAAAATAAAGGTATTGTGTCCGTCTACAACTAAAAATATCTTTAAAAAAACTAACTAAACTAAACAGCTCAAATGAGGGAGTAGAAGACAAAGATTTCCCCAAAGGAGATACATGGATGGCAAAGAAACACATGAAAGATGCTCAACATCATTTGTCATTACAGAGATGCACACTAAAACCAGAATGAGACACCACTACATACCAATTAGAATGTCTAAAACTAACAAGGTTAATCATACCAAGAGTTAGTAAGGATACAGAGCAACATCTCATACATTGCTGGTGGTTCTGTAAAATGGAACAATACTTTGAAAAGCGATCAGGCGCTTTCTTTGAAAATTATACATAAATCTACCATATGATTTAGCCTTTCTACTCCTAGGTACTTTTCTACCCAAGAGAAATGAGAGCATATATTCCTACAAAAACAGGTACATAAAGACCTTTATCTTTTATAGCCAAACACTGGAAACAACACAGATGATATTCCATTGTAACACTAAAAAGAAATGAACTATATATGTAAGAGAGATGAAGCCCAAAATTATTTGAGGTAAAAGAAAAGAAATCAAACAAATATACTGTTAAGATTCGATTTATCTAATATCCAAAAGGTAGTGTTGTGGATTGTCCCCTCCCAAAACATGTTGGAAGTCTCAACTCTTCAGACCTGTGAATGTGACCTTATTTGGAAATAGGGTTTTTGCAGATATAATCAAATTAAGACAAAATAACAATGCATTGGGTTGGTCCTAAATCCAACTGGCATCCTTATAAGAGAGGGGAAATTTGGATGTAGATACAAAGAAAATAAACCTATAAGATGATTGAAGGCAAACATCAGAGTGAAATGTCTACAAGCCAAGGAACACCAATGTTTCCAGAAACCACCAGAAGCTAGAGGGGGCATGGAACAGATTCCCTCAGATCTTCCAGAAGGAACCAACCCAGCTGACTCCCCCAGTCTGGACTTCCCTCCAGAACTGTGAGGGAATGAATTTATTTGTTCACCCAACTTGTGGTATTTTGTTGCAGTAACCCTGGGAAACTTAATACAAGGTGAAAGCAGCATAGGGAGGGAGAGGAAAAGAAATTACAAATGGGCATGAGGAAACTTTTGAAGGATGGATATGTTCACTTTCATGTGATGATAGTTTCTTGGGTATATAACATGTTAAATATGCTAAACTGTATAAAAATTTATAGTTGATTGTATGTCAATTATATTTCAATAAAGCTGGGGTCTTTTTTTTTTTTTTGGTACTGGGTATTGAACTCAGGGGCACTCAACAACTTAGCCACATCTCCAGCCCTATTTTGTATTTTATTTAGAAACAGGGTCTCACTGAGTTGCTTAGTGCCTCGCAATTGCTGAGGCTGGCTTTTAACTCTTGATCCTCCTGCCTCAGCCTCCCGAGCCGCTGGGATTACAGGCATGCACCACCGCGCCCAGCAAAGCTGTTTTTTTTTTTTTAATCCAGAAACAGCAAGCTCATTCACAAAGCCTTGTGTGAAAGACTGTCTGAAGACCTGCAAATAGAAAAGGCTTAAAACTGAAACAGTAAATAATCTCAGATTCAGCCACCAAAAGCTATTATTTCTCATACACACAGGGAAAAGAAAAATACAATTACCCAATAAAGCAGTCTGTCTCTTCAAACTGTACTAGGGTGCAAAAGGCATTTATGTAAAGACTAATGTCTGTGCTAGGAAAGAAACACTGCAGGTGTCAATCCTCTATCCTTCAAGATGTCTAACAATGCCTAGTGACTTAATTAGGAAATCAAACAATTTTCTTAAAATAAGTGAACCTGACATGCAAAGACTCAAATTGTAAAGTCCTTGCCCATAGTGATCTTTAAAAAGAAAAAGTGAAAAGCTTCCTTTATAGTAATAACTTCCTGCAATGCCATAAAAGAAAGGAAATAATTACTGTTAAAAGAATAAAAACAGGGTGGCTGGGGTTGTAGCTCAGTGGTAGAGCACTTGCCTAGCACATGTGAGGTCCTGGATTCGATCCTCAGCACCACATAAAGATAAATAAATAAAATAAAGGTATTGTATCCATCTACAACTATTAAAAAAATAAAATAAAAACAGGAAGAGAAAAAAAGGGAAGAAAAAAATACCTCTCTACAGTCAAACTGGTTGAATTCAAATCCCAGCTCTCACGCTTTTTATATATCTCTAGACAACTTATGTAACTGAGGCTCCATTGTTCTCATTGGTGAGAGGGAGACAACATAGAGTTACAATAAGGATGACACAGTGCTCAGAGCACACTATGCAGAGTGAATGCTAATCATCAGAACTGTAACGGTATAGTTACTGGGTTAAAAAATCTATAAAGTTTGCTTGAAGCAGGAAAATTTAAAAAAAAAACAGATTTTAAATTATTTCTTAGAAGAATATGTCCTTTGCCAAGTTATTTACTGAATCCCAATGACAATATTTTGTAATAGTTTATCAACTCTGTACCATCACTGACAGAGTATGTGCTGAAGCCTCACAGGTACTACATAATCTTCATAATATTAAAAAAAAAATAACACCAATAGAATTTCAGGAGGGACTTGGGAGTTAAGGAGGGAGAGATTAAAGAACTTTATAAGAAAGAACTTAAATAATATTCTCATAAACATTTTATATATAATAGGCCTAGTACATATTTCTAAGAGGTAACTTTTCTTATCACTTCCTTTCAAAAATTTAATTACCAGTTCTTCTTAGTTTGAATAGGAGAGTTCTCTCTAAAACATAACTTGCTCCACTACATTATTTTCTAGCTCAGATAAGTACCCTTTCTACGATTGACTGCAATAAGTTCTCACTTCCTAAATATTGAAATAGGCACACACACACACAAACAAAACCCTTAATTAAAAATCAAAATCATCTAAAAATACTTATGAAAGTTATACAACAATAAAATCCATACATCATAGCTTCTCCTACAATTCAGACTAAAGGTTAAACTACTTTCACCAATTCATAATTAGCTTAATAGCAACAGCAATACTCCAATAAGATTTTTTGGAAAAAAGAAAAAATTTCAGACAGAAAACAATAAGACTACGAAGTAAGAGAACAATATATTTGACAGATCAAAGATTTAGATTCAAAATTCCTTTAACCCAGACCTTTTTTTTTTTTTTATAGCAGGGATTGAACCCAGTGGTGCTTAATCGCTGAGGCACATCCCTAGGCCTTTTTTTTTTTTTTTTTTTAATTTTGAGACAGGGTCTTACTTAGGGCCTGGCTAAATTGCTGAGGCTGGCTTTGAACTTGTGATTCCTCTGCCTTAGCCTCCTGAGCCGCTGGGATTACTAGCATGTGCCACTGCACCTAGGCCTAGTACATATTTCTAGTATATATTTTATTGTTATATAACTTTCATAAATATTTTTAGATGATTTTGATTTTTAATTAGGTTTTGTTTGTGAGTGTGTGTGTGTGTGTGTGTGTGTGTGTGTGTGCCTGCCTGTTTCAGCATTTAGGAAGTGAGAACTGATAGCAATACAATCATAGAAAGGGTACTTATCTGTAACACACATTTAAAACACATCCCCAAAGTCTTTTAAAATAGAAATAAAGCATCAACATAAAAAAAGAGTCTTCTATCCAACATATCCTAAGATATACAAGGATTAATGTAACAACAGTTAAATTTTAAAACTGATGCCTTATGATGTGGGGGGAGGGTGTACTGGAGATTGAACTCAAGGGTACTTAACCACTGAACCACATCCCCAGCCCTTTTTTGTATTTTATTTAGAAACAGGGTCTCATTGAGTTGCTTTTGGCCTGGCTAAGTCACTGTGGCTGACATTTGAATTCATGATCCTCCTGCCTCAGCCTCCAAAGCCACTAGTATTATAGACATGCGCAACTGCTCCCAGCTGAATATCCTTTTTAAAACTATAATCTTGGTTAAAATTGTTTCCTTTACCTCATCATGATAAATCCCAGCTGAATATCCTTTTTAAAACTATAATCTAGGTTAAAACTGTTTCCTTTACCTCATCATGATAAATTCACTTGTACATACAAATTTTGTTTTACATTTTATATCTGAATAAAAACTAACTCCTTTATCACTTCTAAGTTAACTTCTGATAGAAATTTAAATGTTGTGAATAATTTTTATATATTTGTTCTAATATAACATGACTATAAACCTCAGAGAAGATTTATCAGGTTGGAGACTTTACAGATGACACTCTGTCAATTGTAGTTCTGAAATTCTGTCCTCCTTAAAAAACAAAATGAAACAAACAAAAAAACAGATACACAAATGTTTAAGCTTTTTCACAGCATAATAAGTTAAAGATATTAAAGAGAGGAGCAATACTTTAATACACATACCATACACACACAAACACACACACACACACACAAAAAAAAAAAAACAGGCAAAATGGTGCCTGCTTGGAATCCCAGTGATTCAGGAGGCTCAGGCAGAAAATTAGAAGTTTAAGGCCAGCCTCAACAATTTAACTAGGAATGTAGCTCAACGACCAACTGTCTCTCAGTTCCACCCCAGTGCAAAGAAAAAAAATTCACTTGAGAACTATCTACTGGGAATGACCATAAAACTTGGAGATAAGACAAAGGCAAATGTTGATGATATTAATGCTACTTTCTAAACAGAATTGGAAAAATAATAATCATCAGAAAAGCAGTCAATTGTTCTTCAAATTACCTTCTATAATTTACTCGAACAGAAAAGGCAACTGACATTTCTAATCATCCCATCTAGTCCTTCCTTCAGAACACTAATTTTAATTCAGTTATTTGATACAACTAACTACTCAAAAGACAGAATACCTATAACTATTCTACTGAAATGTTCACTGGCAACATCAAGTCAAACTCCAAACTCCTACTACCTAAAGAGGTGATTCTGAGGACAGAAGATAAAATAGAGTACCTCCTGAGGCTTTTCTGGGCCTCCAAAAGAGCCAGAATTCTGAGTCTTCAATAAATACACATCTACCAAAAACTTGGGTATGCTACATACTAAAGAAGGAAAAATGCAGAGAATATGGGCACTCTTCTTAAGTAATTCAGGGTCCAGTGGGGTAGGGGAAGCAGGAAGGTAACAGATAATGATTAATACTAAAACAAAACAAAGCTCTCTATAGAGAATGTCAACATCTCATGTATTCCTTATCATCTCCCCAAATCCCAGTTAGTTACTCCCATATGCCACTTAATTCCACACACAAAGGAAAAAGTCCCAATAGATTAAAGACTTGCCTAGTAAAGAAAAAAACTCTAAATGCATCAAAAATTCATTTACACTTCAAATTTTAAAATTTAAAGGGCATACTAGAAAAGTAAGCAAAGGATGTAAACTATTTATATGAAATGTCATACAACTGATCAACAGGTCAACAAAAAACTGTTCGATCTGAATAGTCCATGGTCAAAAGATGTAAAGGGGACCTCTACCAAAAAAAGAAAAGAAATCCAAGAGGCCAATAAACCTATGAGAAGGTGTTCAACCTCATTAAAAAATAGGAAAATGCTGGCAAATTATAATTACAAAGCATTAATAAGCAAATACCAAATACTAGTAAGGTTCTCAAGCAACAGGAACTCATAAAATGCTGGTAAAAGACTCTAGAAAAATTGTGCTTCTATATTAGAATGGGAGAAAAAAATACTCTATGATATTGTAATTCAACCACTAGGCAAGTGCCCCAGAGCAGTGTTATTCAAAGAGTAGACTGCAGATCCTAATGCTCAGAAAAAGCCCATACAAATTTCTTCAAGTGCTTACAAACTGTAAATCTGCCACATACTTGTGAATTTGTAACCAAAATTTTAGAATCTTCTATCCACAATAAAGTAAGATCTATTGACATAATGAGACTGCTAAGATAACTGTATACATTTAAATGAAGGAACCATAGATATTTTAAATGCTTCATTCTGTTCTCGTAAACAACTGCTAGATACCTCTCATTTAAATGTTTTGCTTTATGAAATCTTGCTCCAAAAAAATTAATGAATTAAAGATATTTTCCATTCTGAGTTATTTAAGCTTTAACTACTTGGAGGTGGGAAGAGGGTTGGACTGGTTACTGGGTATAATACCCAGGGTCTCATACTTGCTAGGCAAATGCTTTACCACAAAGCTACATCCCCAAACTTTCAAAACACTTTTGTTATGAGATAGGGGCTTTCTATGCTGCCTAGGCTGGTTTCAAACTTTCAATCCTTTTGCCTCAGCCTCCCAAGCAGTGGTTACAAGATTGTGCCAACATGTACAGTTTGTTTTAAAATTTTAACATTCTTCATAAGTACTTGACTTTTGAGTACTTATCATGTATGTTAGGAATGAGAAGACAGACCATGTAATATTTTTTAGACATGATAGAGTAAGTTATTCTGGAGTCAGAGAGAACCTTGTTCTTCAAAGTCTAAGGCCAAGAACCTTGTTGATATACTACTGTCAAAGTGTTTTTGCCGGGGCTGGGGATGTAGTTCAGAGGTGGAGTCGGCTCTCTCTCTCTCCCTTTCCCCACTCATACACACACCCAACAGTTTCATCAAAATTGTTGAAAAAGATACTTTGGTGCTTTGCTTAGTAATGAAGTTTCCTTTTCTCTCTTTATTTACCCCTCCCCTTCCTCAGAAGGCAATGTAGGAACTAACAAAGTTAGGAAAAAACTAGACAGCTAAAGAAAAAAGAAAAGCAAAGATACAAATAACACCTACAAACAATGCTCAATAACATAGTTAACAGCCAACTAAAGCCAGGATGTTCGGTATGAATCCGGACATGGCCACTTACTGCCTGGCGACCTACAGAAAGTCAACCTCTAGATTTCAGTTTCCTTATACATATAAATGGCAGTAACTACCTCAAGGAATTTGTGGGGAAAAAAATTGTTAATATATATAAAGTAAAAGAACAACACTTCACAAATAATAAAAGCTATTGAAAAGCCACTAATATTAGTTGTGTTGCAACAGCAACACAAAAATACATTGTTCAGCCTCAACTTCTGTCAAGCTACTGCCTATCGGAAAAAACACCCTCTCACTTGAGTACTTTATTTATTTATTTTTTTTAGGTTTTAGGTGGTCACAATATCTTTATTTTGTTTTTATGTGGCGCTGAGAATCGAACCCAGTGCCTCACACATGCTAGGCGAGTGCGCTACCACTTGAGCCACATCCCTAGCCCCTCACTTGAGTACTTTCATACATACCTTTACCTAACATTTCAAGATCAATTCCTACTTAAGCATAGTAGAATTAAAATACTCATATGTCTGAGTAAACTCTGTCACACTCTTACATAAAATTTGATCAGTAAAAATAATAAATTGAAGGACTGGGGATGTGGCTCAAGTGGTAGCGCGCTCGCCTGGCATGCGTGCGGCCAGGGTTCGATCCTCAGGACCACATACAAACAGATGTTGTGTCTGCAGAGAACTAAAATAAATAAATAAATATTTAAAAAGAAGCCAGAAAACTTAAAAAATAATAATAAATTGAAGAGAGCAGACATTCTTTCACATTGATTATAGAAAGTATCCATCAATTTCCTCTTGTTCCAGCAGGTATTTTTATATGTATTGTTTCAAAAAACTTACTTTAAAACTAAATGCAAGTTGGCAGAGAGTCGAGGATCTGTAAATTGTGTTGTTCTGTTGTTATGGTCAACGAAATAAACTCTGCCTGTTGCAGTATTACGGATTTCCCATCCAGGAGGCAAAGGACCAAGCTCTTCACAATTGATGTTGCTAAGATCCCTGCAAAAACAAATATAAAGTAAAAAATACCTCATTGCTGTGCCTGCTGGGCCAAGCAAGTGTAAATGACATACAACAATTCCATGAAGTCTGAGAAAATGTATTGTTTCAGAAACTTGAGATGTTGAGCTGGAATCTTTAATTCCCAGTGGTTTAACAAACTTGCATGTTCAAAACCCAATCCATAAACAGCTCAGAAGAACTTATCACAAAGCCTACATTTTTAGTAGGTTAGTTTCTCGACTTTAATGTAAAAGTAATCACAACATTTGCCAACATAAACTATACTTCAATATTTGTTTGACAGAAAATACTGTGTTACAAGTATCAGTGATAAAAGGAATTAAATGTTTTCTAAAATTTCCCTCAACTATTTCTTTCTTTACTACATCAAAAATATGTGTAAATAATGTCTATTCCATGAGTAATTTTAAGCTCTCCAACAAAGCAAAACTGGAAATTTTTTGAAATTATGATCCTATCATAAGTTCAAGGCTAGCCTCAGCAACTTATCAAGGCCCTACACAACTTAATGAAACCCTGTCTCAAAATAAAAAAATTAAAAGGCTCAGTAGTAAAGCACCTCTGAATTAAATCCCAAATACAAAAAAAAAAGAAGAAATTATAATCTTGAAAATAATCACAGCTTTTTTTTTAAAGGATAACTAGCTCATTTTGACTTTTGAAGTCTGTGAACTTGTGAATAAAGAACCTGTTTGATACACCAAAAGAACAACACACTAAGGCTTACTACTGCTGCAATAAAAAAAGCTAATAAACTTTTTTGGGGGGAGGGGGTGGGGGTACCAGGGATTGAACTCAGGGGCACTCCCAAGCCACATCCCCAGCCCTATTTTGTATTTTATTTAGAGACAGGGTCTCACTGAGTTGCTTAGCACCTCACTTTTGTTGACTCAGGCTTTCAACTCTCAATACTCCTGCCTTAGCCTCCCAAGCCGCTGGGATTACAGGCAGTTAATAGACTTTTTTTAAGCTGTATATGGATACAATATCTTTATTTATGTTTTTATGTGGTTCTGAGAATCAAACCCAGTGCCTTGCACATGCTAGGCAAGCACTCTACCACTGACCACAACCCCAGCCCAGTTAATGCATTTTAATGAACCAAAGGCCACTGTTATTATATTGCACACACTTAAAATACTATTATATATAAACAAGGATTTATAGGACCTTAAAAAATAAGATAAGGAGCCTTAAGTTATTAAACACATTAAGGTGCTAGGAAGTTAATATGCTCAGAGTAGGCATGTCCTATACCTGACACTAGGCATTGCTTCCCTTTGGTTATTCATAATGAAACCAACAATAAGGACTATAAAATCCTATCCTCTACACTGTTAGAACAAAAATCTTTCAGAGTGAAGATCCCAAAGTTACTGTCATCATCTACTGGGACAATGAAGTCACTGTCTTCCGTGACCCCACTAAAGCCTCATGTAACAATGAGTAATATGCTCAGGTCATTTCAAGCCCAAGTGAACCACTTCAGGCTACAGGAATTACCTGCAAATGCTAAGGAACTGCCACTCTTTGAAAGTGACCAAGAAAGCTCAAGCATCTAGACACTAAAACTGTTTGCCTTTTGTGGTCTTTAGGGGCTTGGGGGAAGGGGGCTTGAAAAGATAAAAGCAGCATGTCTAAAGTAAATTTAAACTAGAACATAATTGTGCTGATAAGATTCTTCAAAATCACATTTTGAAAGTTAAACTAGACAAAGATTTCCGCCAAACCCCCTCAAGTAACAGCTTGTTCTGGGTGAAACATGATGATGGGCACATATGGGCCCTCATAGATTTGTTGAAATGATGACTTTGACTTTTGTTTAGAGGTGCTCCAAGAGGATTCTCCTGACCTCCTCCAGGGCTCAGGATGCTGAGGGAGGAGGATGGTGATTTCACAGAAAGCCTCAGCAAATCAGCAAGGCCTTAAGCAACTTAGTGAGACCCTGTCTCTAAATAAAATATAAAAAGGGCTGGGGATGTGGATCAGTAGTTGAGCACCATGGGTTCAATCCCCAATATTAAAAAAAAAAAAAAGAGAAAGAGAGATCCTCTACAAAACAACTAAAGTTTAAAGGGAAACATATATTTGAAGACATAGCGAGTCACAAAAGAAGCAAGGGAAAGCTCCAAGAATCCTACTAAAAGAGGTAGAGAGGGAGGGAGAAAAAGAGGGAAGGGAGGGAGGAAAATGAAGGTGGAGCTGGTACCTGAGTGGCCAGTGTGGAGAGAGAAAGGCCATCAGCAAGGTTGGGAAAGAAAACTAATAAACTTTCCCCAAAAACTGAGATCTCAAAATAATGAGGTAATTCCAGGAAAACTACCTAAAATTCGACTTCAGGTCTCGAGAACCCCAACTAATCAAGATCAAATAATAAATTCACAACCTAAAATCACCAAACACTTCAGAAAAGAACAACACTGTTAAAGTCAGGAGAAACAATAAACCAGAATCAGATCCCCAAGCACTGTCAGAAATCAAAAAGAGAATAGTGATGATATGCAGTTTTTTAAAAAATTAAAAGGTACCATTACAAAATGAACTATCAATGAAACGTTATTAAAAAATAAATGAAGGGGCTAGATTGTGGCTTAGTGGTAGAGCACCTGCCTAGCATGTGTGAGTCCCTGGGTTCAATCCTCAGCACTATATATAAATACATAAAATAAAGGTCCATTTACAACTAAAAAGAAAAAATTTTTTAAAAATAAAAATAAATGGTGATATTTTCTTAAATGGAACTTTTAGAAGTAAAAAACAATGATAGAAATCAAAGAATGAGAATTCTATTGATATAATGTAGAAACTAATTTTATATTATTTTATTTAGAATTTTATTGATCTACAGTCATACATGGGAGAGGACTGACTAAAAACGTAAAAAACTGGAAATAATTTTTATGTCCAACTGGGAACTGATTACAGAAAAATGGAATGTTATACAGCCATAAAAATACAAATCTGAGCCAGGCACAGTGGTGCATGCCTATAATCTCAACAACTCAGAAGGCTGAGGCAGGAGAATCACAAGTTCAAAGCTAGACTCAATGATTTAGCAAGGCCCTAAGCAACTTAGTGATACCCTGTCTCAAAATAAAAAATAAAAAGGGCTGGGGATGTGGATCGATGGTAGAACACCCCTGGGTTAATCCTTGATACAATCAATAAATGAATCTGAACTTCAAGACTATAGCCAATATACAATAAAATGAATAATTAGGCCTTAATCATTACTTTAAACAGAAATGCAAAGCATAATAAAAAGGGACTTCTCAGATAAATTTAAGTGTATGGATATCTTTAAATGATAATTCAAGTTTATCTTTCTCGCTACCACAAAATCATTTTTCTTCTATATATGTCTTTCCAATGACTTTAAGTAATTTTAAAGAAAAGCTCATTATTTATTTATTTATTTTTTTAGAGTGGGAGAGAATTTTAATATTTACTCTTTAGTATTTGGCGGACACAACATCTTAGTTTGTATGTGGTGCTGAGGATCGAACCCGGGCCGCACGCATGCTAGGCGAGCGCACTACCGCTTGAGCCACATCCCCAGCCCCCCAAAAGCTCATTATTTATCTTCAATTTGATAAACAGAATCCAAAACACTTCCTTTCATAATTTAACAAATTCTGCTTTCTAAAAGTTAGGACCTTAAAATTTTTTCCCAAGCTTAACTTAAAAGATACAAAATTCTCTCTCTACTACTAGTTAAAATTTTAACATTTATACCACCAAGAAATGGCAACTTGATACAGTAATTAGTGATAGCGTATTTTGCTGGCTGCCACCCTCAAAAGATTCTAATTAAATTATATAATCAAATATTTTCATTATAATAGTTTTATTTATAAATGAATAGCAAGTATCAGGGCAACCCAACATCAGCTAGTCACATCTGTTTTTTGATTCAGTTACAAACAGAAGACTGAGTCAGCTTTAGGAAGGAACGTTCTCTTGACACTCCCTGGGTTTTTTATTATGTTGAGGGGGTTGATATACAAAACATCCTCACTTTACAAAGGTACACATGTACCACAGAAAGTTGATTTAGAACTCAATTTTGAATTCCAAGCTTTTTGGCAAATCAGGCTGCACTACTTGGTACTTTGTACATGCTCATTAGAAAAATAACTCAAGCTGGGCTGGGATTGTGGCTCAGAGGTAGAGCACTCCCCTAGCATGAGTGAGGCACCAGGTTCGATCCTCAACACCACATAAATATAAAATAAAGACATGTGTCCACCTATAACTAAAAAAAATAAATAAATATTTTAAAAAAGAAAAGAACTCAAGCTAGCAGTGAAGCATGCCTATAATCCCAGGTCTACTGGGAAAGCTGAGGAAGAAGAATTGCAAATTCAAGGACAGCCTGGGCAACTCAGGGGGACCATGTCTCAAAATAAAATATAAAAAGGGCTAGGGACTTATCTCAGTGGTAAAGTGCCTCTGGGTTCAATCCCCAGTTTCAAAAAAAAAAGAGGAAAAGAAAAAAAAACTAAATATTTAGTACCAGAATGTATTTAAAATTACACTAATTATTAAATTGATTTGTGTGTCATTCCATCTTCTTGAAGTCAGAATACAACTGATATTTTGGTTAACAAATGCAATGCCTACAGTTCAAATGTATAAGTTTTAATTTTTAAATAAAATGGAATTGGAATTCTAAGCTGTTTTCTTTATTCTTTTTCTGGTACTGGGGATTGAAGCCAGGGAGCTCTACAACTAAACTAGATCCTCAGCTCTTTTTAGTTTGTTTATTTGCAGTACTGGAGGTCGAACTCAGGGCCTTGTACATGCTCGGCAAGTGTTCTACCACTGAGTTATATCCCCAACCCTTTATTTTTTATATCAAGACAAGGTCTCACTAAATTGCAGAGGCTGGCCTTCAACTTGCCATGACCCTGTCTCAGTCTACAGAATTGGGATTATAAGTGTGTGCCACCATACTCAGCCACTTATTTTCTTTTCTGCATCAAAATGAAACTATTAAGGAACACATAGAAGATCACTGAATAATTTGTACAAGATTAAAATTTTTTAACTTAATAATAAAGCCTGACCAGAAATAAAACTTATCATCTCCTACCTATTTTTTCCTGTCTTTTTAAAAATTAATTTATTTATTTTAATTTGTTATACATGACAGGAGAATGCATTTCAATTCATAGTACACATAAAGAGCACAATTTTTCACGTCTCTGGTTGTACACAAAGTAGAGTCACACCATTCATGTCTTCACACATGTACTTAGGGTAATGATGTCCATCTCATTCCACCATCTTTAATCTCTACCTATTTTAAATGCAATGTTTTAGCCCATGTTTTGGCTTGCCTTTTTTTTGATACTTGGGATTGAACACAGTGGTGTTTTACCACTGAGCAACATCCCCAGCCCCGCCCCCCCTCTTTTTGTTTCCTTTTCCCAGAAACAGGGCCTTGTTAAATTGTTGAGACTGGACTTGAACTTGATCCTCCTACCTCATTTAAAATGAGATTGCAAACTGGGGGCAGTAGTGCACGCCTGTAATCCCAGTAGCTTGGGATTATTATTTGAGGCAGGAGAATCAAAAGTTCAAAGCCAGCCTCAGCAAAAGTGAAGCGCTAAACAACTCAGTGAGACCCTGTCTCTAAATAAAATACAAAATAGGGCTGGGGATGTGGCTCAGTGGCCAAGTGCCCCTGAGTTCAATCCCTGGTACCAAAATAAGGGAATAGGTGTGACTGCATATGCCACAATGCTCAGCTGTCTCACTTTTTTTTTAATGGGATCAGAAAAGGGGACTGGACACTGGTGGGGGGAACTGGTGAGACTTCAGAGAAACCGGTAAGACTTTCTACTGAATGTCAAACTCAAATGACTGTCAGAGTCAAACATATATATAAACTCAAACATATATATAAACTATTTTTAAAAGTTAAATATCTTTTTTAAAAACTGCAAGAAACCCAAAATAAGATGTATATTCATTGTATGAAGAGTACTTAAAATATATTCTTACCTAGGTACTCTTGGATCATGCCATGTGCTCACACCAGTTTGAGTGTGTAAGAAATATACCTGACCTTGTTGTGTTGTCCTCTGTTCTGTAAAATAAAGAAAACTAATAAGAAGAACAAAATTCAGAATGTCCAAATCAAATACTTTTACATACTCTGGGATAACATACTAATAGGGAAAATTTCCAAATTACCAGTCTATTTCATTATGAAAACCAGCTTCACAAATCACTTTTTCTGTTTCCTAGAAACAATTATATGAAAGTTACAGACCAGATATCTAAAACCTAACTAAACTTATAATGTAGTGCAATCGCAATGGAAAATAGAAAATAAGACTGTCATAACACCAATAAGTAAACAAGACAAAGGTAAAGAAGTGATCTCTTTTTTTGGAACTAGAGACTGAACTCAGGAGCACTTAACCACTGAGCCAATCCCCAGCCCTTTTTATGTTTTATTTTGTGACAGAGTCTCATTAAGTTGCTTAGGGCCTATGTTGCTAAGGCTAGCCTCAAACTTATGACCCTCCTCCTCAGCCTCTGAGTTGCTGAGATTAAAGACATACACCACCATCTGGGCCAGAAATGTATTCTTTCAACTATATTTAGGCTAAAACAGACACACAAAAAAGATGAGCTACAAGAAACACATTATAAAATCACAAACAGGTAAAGGGCTGGGATTGTGGCTCAGTGGTAGAGCGCTTGCCTAGCACATGCGAGGCCCTGAGTTCGATCCTCAGCACCACATTAAAAAATAAATAAATAAAATAAATGTATTGGGTCTAACTACGACTAAAAAAATAAATATTTTTAAAAAGTTTTTAAAAATTCAATATACAAGACAACAAAACCATTGTTAATATTTATTAGCAGAAATTTATTTATAAGCTTCTAATTAAGTCAATAAACTTAAATTGCAAACTTTAAAAAATTTTAAACATAAAAATGTTTAAATTCAGTTACAGATGACAGCTGTAATAATTTCAGCCTTGGTATCTACCTTATTTCTGTTTTAGCTGTACAAAATTTTTTTTAATCTAGATCACACAATATTATAAAAGTATAACTACTCCTATTCCAAATAGCTTGCCTTATAATCTCAAAGATAAATGGCGAAAGATAACTTTATTTTAAGACCTATACATTGACAATAACAGCTAGATTTTATTGAGCATTTTCTATGCCACTCTTTCAGATACTTCACATAAAATATCATTTATTCATGCAATAAACCTATACTATTGGTACTATTACGTTCCCCATATGTTCACAGAGGCTAAATACTATGCTCAGTGTAACATGGCAAAGCTGGGATGTGAACTGAGGTTTGTCTGTTTCACATACTGTAATCTCTGAGGCATAGCACAGTTAGTGGACAGTTTTTTTCTTTTCCAAATTATAGAGCTAAAAATGGCCCTGCACAATGGTGTATGCTTATAAGCCCAGTGACTTGGGAGGCTGAGGTGGAGGATTGCAAGTTCAAGGCCAATCTCAGAAACTTAATGAGGCCTTATGTAACTTAGTGAGACCCTGTCTCGAAATAAAAATAAAAAGGGCTATGGATGTGGCTCAGTGGTAAAGAACACCTGGCTTCAATGCCCAGTGCCAAAAGCAAAAAAAAAAAAAAAAAAGAGCTAAAATATGTTATTTGTTGTTGTTTTTTGGTACCAGGGATTGAACACAGGGCACTTTATACTACTGAGCCAAATCCCCAGCCCTTTTTTATTTTTTATTTTGAGACAGAGCCTCACTAAGTTGCAAGTTGTTGAAGCTGGCTCTGCACTTGCAATCCTCCTGCCTCACTTCCCAAGTTGCTGCCTCCTGTAAAATATGTTTTAAAATAAAATTAGAATCATGAATTTGCAGAATAGTTGTTTAAATAACTCAATTAAAAATAAGAAAACTTAGATTAGGCAATTCCCAATGTTGGTCATTAGGTGTCACCATCAGTCCAAAATAATTTATCTACAGTCAGTGCTAACAGGGCAAAAATTTAGTTAGCTTTTTAGCAAGCAAGCGATGCCAGTCAAGTTCATAAAATGCTAGTGTTTGCAAGGAGTGATTAGAAAGTCTGTATTCAATTAGAAGATTCACATTATCTTCCACATGAAATTCTATAATTCCAGGAAATTACCTAAAAGTAAAATCATCTTATACAAAAAAGTGACTAAATCATTTACAATAATCCCGTCACTCAGATAATCAAAAATTATAGATAACAAAGAACAATAAACACCATAAGAAATACGCCTTTGAAATTATTCCTAAATATGTTTATCCAAAACCAAAAACCACACTGTATGTCTAACTTCAGATGACCTTTATCAATAATAATGCTACCATACCTTTATACAGTGCCTACTTGCAGAGTTGTCTCACTATGATTCAGGTTTCTCACAATACCTTGTGATAAGGTATTAGTCACATTTAATTTTAAAAGAGCATAAAAGCTAAAGTAATTAGTCAAACATTGGTTAGGTAGTCTTCTAACACTTCAAAGATTTTTCAAAGTTGAGAGGTTTTATATTTGCTTTTATTTTCATGCAGAATCCCTAAGCCCAGATTAATAAATTTTTAAGTTAATTTTTGTTCTTAGAAACTAAAATTAGTAAGCCACATTTTATTTTTCCTTTGCTAGTAGTCATACCATAGCCTTCTGGTAGGTCTGGAGGAGTGTGTAAATGTGTCCTGCTCATATAATTTCTATGTCGTTGAGACCTGACTCTCCTCTCTGCCAGCCTGGGATCTGAAGACTGTCCACATGTTGCACCATTTGTTCCACTAATTGGAGTATTCTCATCAACAAAGCAGCTAAGAGGTCTGCCAGGACTAGAATATTCAGATGCCGGTCTATTGAAAAGTAACAAGGAAACAAAGTTATCAATTTAGATATCAAAAGTAGAGTTCTCTACAGTAACAATCACTTATCATATAAGAAAATGGAATGACTGATACAAACATAATGATTTAAGAACTCTCGCAAAAGCAAGCCTGAAAGCTTTAGGCACCAGAGAAATGGAAGTGATTAGCATGTCAATTATATATTTAAATATTGGTTTTAATTGCTTTTTATATAAAGTCCAGATATTTATAGATTTGAATACTGGATATACAAAGCATAACTCAACGTAATACAACCGACCTCTCAGACCTGATTTCCCATCATTCTCCCTCCCAACTTAGCTTCAGCCACACTGATACTCTTTCTGTTCCTTGAACTTCTCAAAAGTCATTTTACCTATAGTCCTCAAAAACAGTATCTTTTCATCCACCTAAAATACTCATTTCTCCTATTATCCCTGGGCTTGGTTCTTTTTTATCATTCAAATCATAATTTACACTTGATGCCTCATTAAGAGGTCTTTCCAATCTTCTAAACTAAAGAAGTCATCCAGTCGTTTGATAGTCCAGACAGAACCCAACCTATGATAGTTCACCTTATGATTTTTTTGACTTTACAATAGTGCAAAAGCAACCAATGTTTATAGCAACAGTACTTCAAATTTTTATCTTTTCCTGGGCTAGCAAGTAATACACATAGCATACTCTCAAAATGCTAGACAACTGGCAGGGAACTGGAGCTGCCAGTCAGGCTTATGATCACAAAAGTAAATGACAGATAGTCTACAGTACACTATGTTGCGTGTGGTATGTTAAGTATATTCAATGAATTTCTGACTTAAGATATTTTTAACTTACAATGGGTTTATCAGATATTATCCAATCAAGTTGAGGAACATCCATACCTTGCCTTAGTTCCTCAACACAGCAGTTATCTCTGGTATTTTTCATTTTTTACAATATTGTTTTTGTTCATATTCCCCCACTAGAATATTCATTGAAAAGGGGGGTGGGAAGTCTGCTAATTTTATTCCCTACTATCACCTAGTGCTTGTTGTGTTAGTACAAGTAGCTCAATAAATACCTATTGAATGAATAAAGGAAAGAAGCTATTTCTCTCTATCAAGGAGCTTTCAGACTTATTGGAAGTCTTCCAAAACAAAATATTCAAGAATTCATTTTTACAATAACATTTATAAGAACCAACATTTTATACATGTGGAAATTAATTCTATCAACTTAATGAATTAGAAGGAAATAGGCTTCATTCAAACACTGACACACATACCCATTCACTTATGCTCATTTATAATAAATGTGTTTTTCAACTTCAATAAAATCCTTGACAGTTTATGCTACAAATGAAACATCTTTAAAAATGGCAACATAAACTAAGCTTTACTTGACAATTACAATGTGATAGAGAAATTTTATGATTCCAATGAGCTAATCAATTAATTCCCAATAAGTAAAAGAGGTAAAGCTCATGAGAAGCAATCGATAATCTATTTCTGGTGCCAGTCCTGCCCAGTAGAAGAAAAAAAGCAAACAAAACACTGAACAGAGATGACAAATAAGCTTTGATTTTGCTTTTTAAAAGAGGAAAAGGTGAATGGATAATTATGAATGTAATGCACTCCACTATTGTCATGTATGTAAGAAATAAATTTTTTAAAAAAAGAGGAAAAGGCGGGCAAGTGTTGTGGCTCAGTAGTAGAGTGCTTGCCTTGCACATGTGAGGCACTGGGGTCAATCCTTAGCACCACATAAAAATAAATAAATAAAGATATTATGTCCACCTACAATTAAAAATATTTTTTTTAAAGTGGGCAAGGAGAACTAAGTCACTTACTCTATTCATTTTCAGTTACTTTAAAAGCATGTCTTTATAGTTCTCAAAAATGAGCTTGCACTCTGATGTCTTTATAAATTAAGCTCCATAAAAAAGGGACTATATGTCTACCATTCTTCAAGGTTTAATTCAGAGTCACCTCCTTCACAGTTTTCCTTTGCAACTTCAACCAGTTCCTCATCACCCACTCTAAGGTAGGTGCCCCTCCATAGTGTTCTTATCTTGATCACAGACCTTACTTGGACTTGATATAATATGATCTCTTTATGTGACTGAAAGAATAGAGACCCTGTACACATATTTTATAATGACCATTCAATAATAGATGTAACCACAAGCTCAAAAAAACCCCACAGATACCCAGAAATAAAATGATTATTCAATTTATTCAAGTGATTCAATTAATAAAGATATATATTGGTACTGGGGAATTGAACCCAGAGATACTTTACCACTGAGCCACATCTCTAGTCCTTTTTATTTTTTGAGTCAGGGTCTCACTAAGTTGTTTAGAGCCTTGCTTATTTGCTGAAGCTGGCCTCAACCTGTAATCCTCCTGCCCCAGCCTCCTGAATCGCTGGGATTATAGGCATAGACCACCATGCCCAGATCAATTAATGTTTATTAAATAATACCATAGGCCCTGGCACTCCAATACCAGGATGACCTGTCAAACAATCTTTCTTGATGATTATTACTACTTGGGGGGTGGGTACCAGGGATTGAACCCAGGAGTGTTTACCCACAGATCCAGAACCCAGCTCTTTTTTTTATATTATAGACTGTCTCCATTAGTTGCTTAGGGCCGCAATGCTGAGACTGGCTTTGAACTCAAGATCCTCCTGCCTCAGTCTCACAAGCTGCTGGGATTATAGGCATGTACCACTGCACCCAGCTGTTGATGATTACTCTTTTTTTTTTTTTTTGGTTGTAGATGGACACAATACCTTCACTTTATCAATTTATGTGGTACTGAGGATCGAACCCAGTGCCCCATGCATGCAAGGCAAGCACACCACCACTGAGCCACAACCCCAGCCCCGATGATTACTTTTTAAAAATGATAGCAAATATCTGCTCTAAAATCTACGAAAACAATCTAGTAAAGATGAGAGATAAAAAGAAAGGAAGTTCAAGAAAGTGACTAGCAAAAACTATCAGAAATACCTATATGTTCTTACCTTGTTGGGCGTTCCCATTGTGTAGTTCTTGTTATGTGGTTAAGATACTGAATTCTTCCAGAGGCAGTTCGCCTTTCTTCCCAGCTTAAATAAAAATATTGAAAGATAAGGCATTAATAGGATTTAATAGGAAACTAGGACACTGAAGATTTTCACTGTAATCACAAAGGTTATCTACTATCACAAATCAGACCAAATGGAAGGATCAAATCACAGAATAAAGATTTTTTTTCAATTTACTTTAGAACTACATGATATATTTTATAAAATGCTGAGCTTCTAAAATATTTACACTGAGATGTGACAAATATCTTTCCATCAGCTACAGTGAGAATTTTCAATGATGTAAAACTCAAATTATACTAATTTCGTAAAAAATGGCACTATTAAAAATATGTTTAACCATAAATTAATGTAGCTATTAAGCACAAAACTAAGCATTGGAATCCAGGTGGCCAAAAAAGAAAAAAATCACTCTCAATTTTTTAAAGTAAAATTTCAAAAAGCATATATTTAAAAAGCTTTCAAAGCAATCTATCTATCCAAACTATTTTTTTTTTTTTTGATGGTGCTGGGGGTTGAACCTAGGGCCTTGTGCATGTGAGTCAAGCACTCTACCAAACTAATTTTTAAAAAATCAAGAATGCCACTTACCCCTCAACTTTTTATTGCAAATCATATAAAGAAAAAGGCAAAGGACTACAGATATGTAATATTTTCACCAAAATATTAGCAGAGTTTTGGGGAGGTTAACTTTTTAGCAGAAAATGAAAAAGATGCTAGGGGGTTCCTCCCCCCACCATAGTACAATAGTCATGGGCAAGTTAGACTAATGAGCCCATATTGCTATAATCGCTCAATATTAATTAATTATTTCAATCTAAACCTCCCCTTCAAAATTATCATATTCTACGTCACATCCAGGAAAGACTTAACAGACATCAAAAAACTGAAGTGGTCTATAAACAGAGTTAATTATAGCAATTTTTAATAGTTTAAATAAATTGAGCAAATACCACAGCTTAGATGTAAACATTTCTGTCAAAAGCTGGGTGAGATGGAACACGCCTATAATCCCAGCAGTTAGGGAGGCTGAGGCAGGAGGATAGCAAGTGTAAAGCCAGCCTCAGCAACTCAGTGAGGCACTAAGCAACTCAGCAAGACCCTATCTCTAAATAAAATATAACAAAGGGCTGGGGAACAACAAAGTAGCTCAGTGGTTGAATGTCCCGAGTTTAATCCCAGGTAGAAAAAAAAAATCCATCAAAAATAATTTGAATTGAAACAAAACCAATTATATACTTCAAATGGATCCAATTTATTGTATGTAAATTACACTTCTTTAAAGTTAACTAAAAATACTTTAAAAGTTAAAAAAAATTAAAGACAAAATTAGTATCAAAGATAAAGAGTAGTGATAGAGCTGGGGCTGAGACTCAGTGGCAGAGCGCTCGCCTAGCACCTGTGAGGCACTGGGTTAGATCCTCAGCACAACATAAAAAATGAATATATAAAATAAAGGTGTTGTGTGCATCTACAACTAAAAATATTTCTTTAAAAAGATAAAGAGTAGTGATAAAGATCAAGAGCTTAGGAATTAAAACTTAGGTATGTGCTCCAGCTCTGCCACTTACTATGTGAGCTTAGACAAGTTACTTTACTTCTCTGAGCCTCAGTTTTTTTATATGTAAAATGAAAGAGTGGCAATAATAGTAATAACAGAAACAATAGTAGCTAAAATTAAACACTGTATGCAAGATACTAAAGTGCTTTAAGTAAATGATTTCATTTAATTTTCTCAACAATTTATATTATCAATCATCCTTCTTAATAAATAAATAAATATATATAAACTGAAGCTTACAGAAGTTAAATAAATCAATTAAGGTCATAAAGAAGAGTAAGGACTGGAACCAAAGTGATCAAACACCAGAATTGTATGTTCTACACTACCTTCCAAGATGTTTTAAGAATTAAATGATGTAATGTTTATAAAGTGCTTATAACAGTATTTGATCCATACATGTTCAATAAATGCTACTTTGTTGTAATTACTATTACCCAAATTATCTTTTCCAACCCTCTAAATAGAGCAATGTTTCAAATCTAGTACCTACATGGTCTCTTTGGAATAATTTAATCAAGCAAAAAAAGTTTTTCTTTTAATAGATAATATGTGTAGAAGAGTTATATTTAGCAAAATATTTTCACTTGCTTCTTTGTCAAAACTTTTTTTATAAAAAAATCAAATTTAACAGACCAAACTCATAGCCTATTTTATAAATTTGTTATGACAAGATCCTTCTAATTTTCCAATTAGAAAGAAAACCTTCATTATGAAATTGATCAAGCAAATTTCTAAAGCATATAGTAAATATCAACTTTTTTATTATTTTACAGATAATCTTTATATATTTCTCTAATGATTTTAGTGATATTAGCTTACCCATCTGGTAAATCATTATCAAACAAACGACTGCAGTCCACAACTTGTCCTCCTGTGCCTATTCGGTCTCTGGACTGAAGACTTACTATTGTAAACAACAGAAACATTACTAAGATTTATAGAAAGAACTATTACAATCTAAAATATCTTATCTTTAGAAGGCATCTGGCTTAGCTTTTTTTAATACCTTAGTAAAATCTATAGTTTATTTTCACATAATTTTGCTCTTTAAGAGTAATGTTAAAAAATATTAGGGTTTTCTACACTTTCTCATGTTCTTGGAGAAAAGTCTAATTTATTATAATGGGGCAATCCAAGGTCACTATTGGACTTAAGAGACACAACACATTAATGGTATACTCATGTATAAAGAGGTTAGAAAAGCTCACATTCATTTGGGTTTAATTCTTGATAATCTGACCATCTTTTAAAAATACCCCAAATTTGGCAATAAGCCAGTCCTTACACTCTGTGAGTTTTAACAATATGTCATCCTATTACACTAGTGCATTGTAATACCATCACTATAAACAGGACATATGAACTGAAAAGTGGTCTCTATCAACTAGCTTGGCACTGAAACCTTGGACAAAATACTTACCAACCTAAGGTTGAAAGAGAGAGAGAGAGAGAGAGACAGAGACACACACACACAGAGTAAAACGTTTGATGCCTTACTATTAAACAACAGAAACATTACTAAGATTCATAGAAAGAACTATTACAATCTAAAATATCTATCTTTAGAAGGCATCTGGCTTAGCTTTTTTTAATACCTTAGTAAAATCTGTAGTTTATTTTCATATAATCTCAGCTACTGGGGAGATTGAAGCAGGAGAATTTCAAATTCAAGATCTGCTAGGGCAACTTAATGAGACCCAGTCTCAAAAAGATGAGGATGTAGCCAAGAGGTAGAGAACTCCTAGGTTCAATCCCCAGTACTGGGGGGCGGAGTGGGGGATTAAAACATTTGTTTTCTATGTAGTATACTCCAGTATTTCTAATGTAAAACAAAGTATCCTATTTTTATAAATGTAAATTTATACCCAGTAAAATGACTTTGTTACTCCTAGATATTAGTTGGCAAGCATTACCTAACATCAAATCAAATACAGTTTAAGCTATTGCATGCAAAAGGACTGTATGCCAGGATTTTTTTTTTTTTTAAAGAGAGAGAAAGAGAATTTAAAAAAAAATTTTTTTTTTCAGTTTTTGGCAGACACAACATCTCTTTATTTGAATGTGGTGCTGAGGATCAAACCCAGTGCCCCGCGCATGCTAGGTGAGCGCATTACCGCTTGAGCCACATCCCCAGCCCCCAGGATTTATTTTTGACATGTTTTTTACACCTTTCTCAATTAAAGAATGACAGGCACTGTCAATAATTCTGTAATGCAAATACTTCCCTGGGATAAACCCCAAAAGAGCTTTGTTATGTGGCTACTGTGGCAGTTCCCCAACTATGAAACTAATGCATTGCCTTGTAAAATGAAGTCTTCCAAATACTCAAAACCTTTCTGGCAGACTCATAATAAAATCAGTTTAGTCTAAATTCTGCTCTATCAAGAAGTATAAGATTCCAATTGCATTTTCTTCTTTTAATTCAAGAAGCTTCAAAAGTGCCTTCCTCAGTGTCCTACTACACCGTGCATCTTCATCAAATCTCAGTATACCAATTCTTTTTTTTGTTGTGTTTTTTTTAACTTGCAGTCAATTTATTAAACTCTGCAGGTTTACAACTTCATATTAAGTAGCCTCCTTCTATTTCATATGGTTTCCATGTGATTGCATCAAGGATTAGCCCCTTGCCCACTGAAACTCCTCCAGTACTTCCTGCACTTAGGGTTTCCTGCACATCAGTGCTTGGGTCTTGTCTTCTGGTGCTTTGTGTGCTTGTGCCTTCTCCAGGGAGGCCAAGGAGGCAGCTCCGCAACAGGCGGTCAGTATACAAATTCTTAAGAAAAGTCTCCAGAAATATTATATGAAGCATTTTTCTCTAGGTCAATTTAAGACAGTCTATTAGCCCATTTCTAACTGAGTGCCTTATGACTCAGGTGGAATTTCACCCTCATTTCCATTTAGTGTTACACTGCTATTGTTCATTCTATTTTTTTTAGCACCATTTTCAAAACTGTAAAGCATTCAACATTAAACAAAGCATTAAATTTTAAAAGTTCAATATTCTATTCTTATTCTTACTCCAAAACTAGTTCAAGAATTTTCAGAAAACTTTAATAACCATCTCCCAAGTTTACCTCAGTGCTCTACCATATTTGAGTACTTTGAAAGAATTCCTGGCTTAAAGAAACAAAATAACAACACTAGAAACTACAAATTTTTTTTATATTAAGATTTTTAAAAATTAAGTTAACCTGAATTCTGTATATACTGTAGCATTTTTCATGACTCATCTTTAATTAATGCCAATACAGTGAAGCTGTATTTATTATATTTTGAATTATATATTTGAATTATTATATTCTGAATGAGGTCAAAATTCACATAAATTTAAATTGTACACTTACCTACTATCTGTCCTCTAACTGTATCATTGTCATTTGGCCCAAGTTTGCATAGATCCAACCTCTGATCTATTTCAAATCAACAACAACAAGAAAAAATTTTAATTAACTGGAAATTAATTCTAACATCTATTAAGTGACAATTTACATAATCCATTAGAAATCAGATCACTTAAGGAATTAATCATGTTTTAATTATAAAACGAATTTCAAAATATTCTTAGCTGTATATATAATAAATATCAACAAGTGTTGATAATTAGGACTTCAAAAATTACAACAGTGGTGTATTACATTGTCAATAGGTAGTTCTTTCTTTCCAAAGCTTTCAAACTACTTCAGTTTTAGTTGTGGCTTACATCTTAATAGCTGTTGGTCTTAAACAACCTGAGCCTTGGTTTTCTCATATATGATAAAACTTGCCTTAGATTTTTTTTTTTATAACTTTATTTATTTATATGTGGTGCTGAGGATGGAACCCAGAGCCTTGCATGTTCGAGGCGAGCACTCTACCTCTGAACCATAACCCCAGCCCCTTACCTTAGATTTTTTAAGGATTAAATGAGATAATTACAAATCTCAGTACAATATCTGGCATGTAAGTGTTCAATAAATGTTAGTTGACATTATTATTATTTTTATGCAACCATTCCAAATGACACATACACACAATAAATATTAATAAGAAGCCAAAGGAAAACTTAAGATCTGGGTTTGATTTAGTTCTGCCACTAATCATTTAGGGGCAACAAATTTATTCTCTTCAGTGCCTCAATTGTAAAACAAATACAACTTTGACCTGGCCCTCTAAGAAACAATGTCACCCATTAGCATGCTGGTTTTACTTTAATTATAACACATATAGCATTTTAAAACTTGCTTCTTAAATAATCATGAATTGGTAAAAGGAGGAGACCATATCTTAGTCTTTGTATCCTAAAATTCAATCTGGAAGAACACTACATCAGGTGCTTAAAAATGGCTGATACTAGCCCATGGCACACGCCTGTAATCCCAGCGGCTTAGGAGGCAGAGGCAGGAGGATCACGAGTTCAAAGCCAATCTCTGCAATTTAGCAAGGCACTAAGCAACTCAGTGAGGCCCTGTCTCTAATAAAACGGAAAACAAGGCCAGTGGTGTGGCTCAGTGGTCAGTGCCCCAGAGTTCAATCCCAGTTTAAAAAAAAGAAATAGTTGATACTATCACTACATATCAAAAAGCTCAAATAAATTAATGCTATAAAACATTTACAAGCAGCACAAAGAAAATTCTGTACCCCAAACTACAACTGCTGGCTATCCAGACAAAAACACAAAATGTTTTTTCCCTCTGCAAAATAAATGGTGCTACTGGGTTGGCTATACAGTGGATGTCTGCAGAGCATGTTCCCTCTTCTCCTATTCAGTTCTTGCAATGTGGCATACACCCTTTGTCAGAGGCTTTTGCTTTTACTTCTCAGTCAACAAGATCCATGCCTTTTTCATCTTTGTATCACCAAGGTTCAATAAACATTGTGTAACCTGAACAAGGGATAATGCCAGACATTTATTTGATCTGTAAGTTTTACGTTTGCCTGCTGGATTGGGAAATAAATGTTTGTTTATACATGTAGACCTTTTCCAAACCCAACCTCTCTTTCCTGTTGGTCATCACCCTGTTAACCCAGAAATTTAAGGATTTCTCAGATTCCTTTAAATTCCTGTGATTCAGAATTTCTAGCTCTATTTTCTCCCTTTTTCTTAACAGGTGAACATTTGTAAATCTGGGCTGTGGTATTGCAGTCCATTAAAAGAGTTCATCTCTTAATATATATTCAATGCTATATTTACTGTTTTTTAAATTTAAGTTCCTTAGTTAAATTTTATGAGTTTATTAGTACAGGAATCTGGGCCAAAATTTCATGATAATAACAATATTTTTTTTATATTGTATAAAAAAGAATTTTGTAGAAACAACAACAAAAAAAATCTGTTGAAAAAGATATTTCCGGGCTGGGATTGTGGCTCAGTGGTGGAGCACTCACCTAGCACGGGTGGGACCTGGGTTCGATCCTCAGCACCACATAAAAATAAAGACATTGTGGGGCTGAGGATATGGCTCAAGCGGTAGCGTGCTCGCCCGGCACGCGTGCGGCCCGGGTTCGATCCTCAGCACCACATACAAACAACGATGTTGTGTCTGCCAAAACTGAAAAATAAATACTAAAACATTCTCTCTCTCTCTCTCTCTTGAACTTGTGATCCCCTGCCTTGGCCTCCCAAGTAGCTTGTATTACAGGTGTGTACCATGGTCCTTGGCTAGTTTTAAAAAAAATAATAATAATAAAGACATTGTGTTGTGTACATCTACACCAAAAAATAAATATTAAAAAAAAACATATTTCCATCTATGTTACAATGGGAAGACATTACAAAAATATAGAAATAATTTTTAATATATCTTTACCATACATGCCACTCTCAGCTTTGTCAATTATATGAATTACACTTGTTAAAAATCAATCTGTCCATCTGTTATGGATATAACTTCTAACATCTTGATTTTGGTATATCTCCTAAAGGCCAGACTGATGATAAACTGAACCTAATTTATAGTTAAGTAGTTAATACAACTATGTTGTACTCAAAATAATGTCTTATCTTTCTTTAACTTTTAATTTTGTTCAGGAGTTTTATATAACAATCTTATCTTCTAAAAATTCTCCCTTAACTGCCACCTTAAACACTCCAATCACCTAAATAAAAACTCAATTTCATCTCACAGATCCACCAAAACCAGAAAAAGATGCTAAGAAATTTAAAAAGGCATATGTACTTTTAACACCTTTCTTTTAATCCTTCTGAAGTTCACAAAATAAATACAGACCAGGAATTTTCACCAATGTTTCAGACATACAGAAGTTAGATTTCTGAACCCCTATAACATAATATAATTAAAATCATTGTAACAATTAAAATAACATAATAATAAATAACATATTTTTAAATTCAAAAATCACTAATATCTACTCACAACCAGTGTCTTTGAGGCGGTTGATGGCATTGGAAAGAAGACGAACACAACCAAGAAATCCAGCACCTTGTTTTTTATGGATCTTCTTGTGATTCCATACACTGATTGTAACTGAATCAGACTTTCCAATATACCTAAAAAATAAGATGGCAACATAAGTAACTTGGTAGTTACAAGTGATATAAAATTTTTCTTTTGTCCTTTTTATATTCTGAAGTTACAAATATATTTCAAAGTATGGCTAGCTAGGTCATGCAAAATCTGTTTTGATTTCAATCAATCTCCAGGTCTGAATTTAAATTTTTAAAAATCTTAAAATATATAGAAATAATTTTTAATATATCCTTGTCATACCTGCTACTCTTAGCATGGGTAACAATGCTTATTAGTTTAAAAAAATAAAATAAAAAATAAAAGCTCTAGCAGCTAGTGTCTAGTAACAAGGGAGTTTATAACAATTATTTCTTTCTAAGAACAAAAATCCTAAAAAGAACTTCTATTGGTTACTCTTAAAATATAGTTCAATTACATGACCTACCATCTCAGAGACTTACTTCACTTTCAAGGGACATTGTCAAGGCTGACAGACCAAAAATCTGACCTACCTGTTATATTTTTAAATGTTGTAGAACAAAAGCTGTATGTAACGCTTTTCCCTTGCTTCTTCCCTGTATGCAGGCCTTGAGGGAGCAGGACTCTTGTAGATTTCACTTTACTGCCTGCAGACAAGCAGAGCAGGGAAAAGCGTTACTGTTCTTGTCTATGCATATGTCTGCAATTACATAAAAGCTCCACCACAGCCAATTGTTAACATGGAATCAACCCATGCAAAAACATATAACATAATTATATCAATATAAACTAACTTCATTTCAAGACTCTAAGATGTCAAATTTTTGGTCCAGCAACCTTGATCATAAAAGTATCATTTAGTTAAAAAAAATTACTTACTATATAAAAAGTATAAACCACTTAAATGAGGGCTAAAACTTTTAAATAAGAACATGGAAGGCATACTTGAGTCCCTGGATCCAGTTATACCTAAAGAATGTCCACCCAGGGTTCTTAATTATACAAACCAATCATTTCTTTTCTAAAATGAAACCAATTTGAATTTGGCCCCCAATGCTTACAAATGAAAAAATATCAATCAAGACACAAACACCAATTTTCCAACACATCTATAACATATATCTTGGTATGTATCTACTGCATGCTACCTCAAAATTCCAGAACCAGGATCAAGCATTAAACAAATAAATCACCTCAAACTAAACATTAAAACAAAAGAAGTATGTTAAATCAGTTTCCCAACTAGCTGGCCTGAACTGTACATATGCTGAAATATGGATTTTAAAGGTAACAGAAATTTTTTTTAAAAAATTTTTTAAGTTTTGGAGTTTTTAAAAATTAAGGCATTGTACATAGTGGTTGAGTTCATTTTGACAAAATCATACATGCAAAGAATCTAATTTCAATCCCCATTTCTCCCCACCCTGGCTGATCCTCTCCTTCTCCCTCCCCTTTTTTCCTTCCTCTACTCTACTGGTCTTCCTTTAGCTGCTTATTTAATTTTGATTGGTACTTTCTAAATATGCATAAAGGCAAAATGCCCTTTGTTACCTTTATATATGCATGTAACATAATTTTGTTAAATTCATTCCATATTTCCTTCCCTTTCTCTTCCTCCCTCCTCATTCTCTACCTTCTACTCCACTGATCTTCCCTATACATTTATGATATCTAATTCCCCTGGCCAACCTTCTTTCCCATATTTTGCTCTAGCTTCTACATATAGGAGAATACATTCCCTGATTTTCTGAGACAGGCTTAATTCACTTAGCATGATGTTCTCCATTTCTATTCATTTACCAGCAAATGCCATCATTTCATTCTTCTTTATGGCTGAGTAAAACTTCATTATGTATATATACCACATTTTCTTGATCCACTCATCTATTGACAGGCATCTGGGCTGATTCCATAATTTGGCTATAGTGAATTGTGCTGCTATAAACACTGAAGTGGCTGTATCACTGCAGTATGCTGACTATAGTTCTTTTGGACAAATACAAAGGAGGAGGATAGCTGGGTCATATGGTGGTTCCATTTCTAGTTTTTAAGGAATTTCCACACTGTTTTCCAGGGTAGCTGTACTAATTTGAGTCTCAACAACAATGTATCAGTGTATCTTTTTCAACACATCTTCACAAGCATTTATTATTATATGTGTTCTTGATAATTGCCATTCTGATTAGAGTAAGATGAAATTTTTGTGTAGTCTTGATTTGCATTCCCTGATTGCTAAAGATGTTGAACATTTTTTCACATATTTGTTGGTCATTTGTGTTTCTTCTTTTGAGAAATTCTATTTAGGTTTTTCTGCATGCATACCACCACACGTTTTATGTACACTATGATGTGAAAAGATTGGAAATCTCTACATTAAGCTGTAATACACATTTGGTAATTACAGACTTTCTGGAAAATAGTCAAACTATGAATTACTAAAAATCATTAATTGTACTGTATTGCTTAAGTGTACATGTCACAAACATTCTGTCCAAATATCCTGAGCCAGAAATGAATCAGAACTATAATAATTTTTTACACCTAGTGAAGTATCTGTTCTCAATTTAAGGAAACTTCATTCAATATAACATATAGCACATAAAAGTCAATCATTTTATAACTGAAAGTTAAACAGAGGCTTCTATTAGGTTCTACTAAAACTTCTTCAAAAAATATATGATTTATAAATAAGCCTCAGGACATTCTGTCATGAAGGATACTTCTATATGAAAACATAACATTATCATATAGACCAAAATATGATGTCTACATTAAAGATTTTTGGCTAAATATAATTATCAGAATTTGTAAACTTAGCCAACTAAAGGTAAAGATTTCGCAAAATGATTCTAAGCATTTCCCTAATCTTTTCCCTTTCAAGGTGTATCTTGGAAACAAGCAAGATGAAATCTAGGGCTGGGGATGTGGCTCACTGGTGAGATGCTTACCTGATAGGTGCAAGGCCTTGGGTTCAATCCCCAGCACACACACGCATGCACACACACACACAGAAAGGAATCTAAGAAGTACATGAAAAGTTGCTCAATATTGCAGTTGGGCACAGTGGCTACACACCTGTAATCCCAGCAATCTAGGAAGCTGAGGCAGGAGAATCCCAAGTTCAACTCTAGCCTCCACAACTTAGTAAGGCCCTATGTAACTCATCAAGACTCTGTCTCAAAAGAAAATAAAAAGGGCTGGTGATGTAAGAATGTAGTTCAGTGGTAAAGTATCCCTGGGTTCAATTGCCAATACCAAAAAAAAAAAAAAAAAAATGCTCAACATTGTTAAAACCACAATGAAGTTATCAATTCATACCCACTAAGATCACTATATTTTTTTAAGAAAAATAATAAGCATTAGCAACAGAGGAATAGAGAAAATGCCCTGAAATTTTTCATATGAAAAACAATAATCAGGGCAAGGTTGTGGCTCAGCAGTAGAGCGCTCGCCTAGCATGTGCGAGGCCCTTGGTTCAATTCTCAGCACCACATAAAAATAAATAAACAAAATAAAGATGACATTGTGTCTAACTAAAAACTAAATGTTAAAAAAAAAACCACAATAATCACAAAAGACCAAAATTAGAATGCCATTAGCAATAATCTAAACTTGTACTAATCCAAAACCCATGCTGTTCCAGCCACATGGGATTAGTGAATATTTCAAATGTGGTTAAACCAAACTGAAGTGGGATGTTAGGTAGAAAGAAAATAAACCTCTGATTTCAAAGACAATATATGATATAATAGCTCAATATTTTATATTGAGTATATGTCAAAATGTCAATATTTTAGACACTGAAATTAAATAAAATATATTATGCTTAATTTCTTCTGCTTTTGTTTTTCAATATGGCTACTGGAAAATTTAAAATTACAGATGAATTCCCACTTGTGGCTCACATATTTCTATTGATGCTAATCTAGACCTTAAATATAATGGAGTAATGTATTTGAAATTTGGAACAAAAGTTATATCTGGGGCTGGGGATGTGGCTCAACGGTAGCGTGATCGCCTGGCATGCGTGTGGCCCGGGTTCGATCCTCAGCACCACAAACAAACAAAGATGTTGTGTCCGCCGAAAACTAAAATTAAATATTTTTTAAAAATTCTCTCTCTCTCTCTTAAAAAAAAAAAAAGTTATATCTGACCTTACAGTCTATACCCAAACTATCAGGTAAAAAGGTGAAATATATTATTAGATCACATCTCAAAAAATTTTTTCTATTTTTGCACTCTCAAAATGACAGTGGAAGATAGACTTCACCAAAACAGGGGAGTAAGCAAAACACAGGAAGTCACTGGAGCTAGAAGAAACCAAGGCAATTCCTGACATAATGATAAAGGCAAATCCCAGGACAACTGCAAGGCAATTCTTAGAGAACTACCAAACCAGATTAGAGTAAAAGGACAGAGGGCCCTGGAAGGATGTCTCCAAGAAGAAAAATCCAATGGAATATCTAACAGGATTGAATGTATGGTGAGGATGTTTACTTCCGTAGTAGAATTTGGGAATTAATTAATGAGACAGAAAACAAGACAAATGACAGAGATAACTATTAACTTCAGAAACAAAAGTGGTCAAGACAGAAAAAATAATTCTTGTACACCATGTGATACAGCTCTGAATATTTACATAATCATATTCATGTAATCACAGAACAATGATTTAACTACAAAGGTTCATATAACTATACTAAAGAGCTAAGAGAAAGGAAGGGGCAAGTGAGTATCATTATGGGAGTGGGGATGAGTGGTATTAGTTTTAAAAGCTTAATCATCTTCTCAGGTAGGAAATCTTTTTTTTTTTTTTTAATATTTATTTATTAGTATTTGGCAGACACAACATCTTTGTATGTGGTGCTGAGAATCGAACCCGGGCCGCACGCACTCCAGACGAGCGCGCTACCACTTGAGCCACATCGCCAGCCCCCTCAGGTAGGAAATCTTAAAACATCTAAAACCAGGGCTGGGGATGTGGCTCAAGCAGTAATGCGCTTGCCTGGCATGTGGGGGGCGCTGGGTTTGATCTTCAAAACCACATAAAATAAAAAAATAAAGATGTGTGTCCACCGAAAACTGAAAAATAAATATTAAAAAAAAATTCTCTCTCTCTCTCTCTCTCTAAAAAATAAAAATTTAAAACCAGAAACAAAAAAAAATAATGGAGATGCTATAAAATATTTTGAAATAGAAGAAAATATCAGAATAAACATCCAAACATTAAAGCAGTTAGTTCGGGAATGAGAATGGGACTGAGAATACTGTTTTCCACTAAAAACCTTACAGTACCATGTGCCTTTTTTAAAAGGTGAATATACTATGATTAAAATATAATTTAAAGAAAGTAGACACCCAGAGAAGTAATTCTGATTCCTAGTTCTATACTTTTAATTGGCATAGAGTGAATTAATACTTTTATTTCATTGAAAATGGGGGAGGTTCTATATTATGAGCCAGTTTTCCTTTTTTTGTTGTTGTTGTTGGTACTGGGGATTGAATCTAGGCATGCTTTACCAGTGAGCTATATCCCCATTCTTTTTATTTATTTTTTTAAACTCTGACACAAGATCTCATTGTGTTGCTGAACATCTCACTAAATTACTGAGGCTGACCTCAAACTTGCAATGTTCCTGCCTTAGTATCCCTAGTAGCTAATATCACAAGCCACTATGCCTGGCCATTTTATTCTTCACAGGCTTTTTAGGGGTACTGCATCTTTCAAAACCAGGTATTAATAGGCCAAAGCACCTTTCCAGGAACTGGGTTTTGTACCTTTCCTGTGAACACCAAATTATACCTTTTCTAACTCAGACAATTTTCTATGATTCTTTTCATATAATATTGTATTTTATTTCAAATTAATCATTTAAACCTACAGGTCATAATGCTGATTCCACTTTGGATCGAGTGTATTCTTCACAGTATCTGTAGAATGGCATTGCCCAGATCCATCAACCACCACTTTAGCAAATGGATCAGGAAGGCCTGTGAAGAAAGAGGAAGATTAGTGTTTTAAAGAATATTTTACCATGTAAGATAAAAGATTAATTACATAAAAATTACCAATTGCTACAAAACAAAAGATTATTCCATTCTTTTTCAAAAGTTTAACATTCAGCTACAAATGAAAGTGGCCTACTTTAAGCCACTTAAAGTCACTTCCACATCAAATATCAAAAGTATATTTTTTCTTGTTCCTGCCTCAAAACATTCTCAATTAAAGTACCAGAGTATAGAGTTTACCTCATAATGTGGAAGTTTCCAAGGACTATTACCAGCCCTTTGACCTCAGGAAGGTTCATGCCTCACCCTTTCCAAATGGCTCCCTTGGTAGCTCACTTAAAGAGCTCTTTAAATATAGGTTTTCACATAAGAACATGGGCTACAGATAATCAAATTAACCAACAAATTTTACTGGATAACTAACCATAAGCAATTACAGACTAAACAAGAAGGGTAAAATCTGCCATAAAGGAGCTTACTGTCATAATGGAGATATGTTAAAACATAACAAAAACAAGTGTTTGGCTGTACTGATTAAAATAGCAAACACTTATAATATTATATCAGGTAATATTCTAAATGCTTTATATATATCCTTAATCCTCATAATAACCCTATGAGGTAGATACTGTTATTATCCCTATTTTACTGATAAAGAAACTGAAGCACCAAAGGATTCGTTAACTAGCCCACAGTAATAAGTGGGCTAAACTTCAGAGTCTGAAGTTTAGATTCTAAACCCATACATATGCAGGCTGGCTTTCAAATACTTGCTCTCAACCACTATACTTCCCATTTACCACATGTTTAAACAATAAGTACAACAAATAAGAGCCCAGGAAACCAGGAGGACAGTTCAACTTCAAATAGTATATAAAGGGCGATAGGGCTTTATTATTTAAATAGTAAATAAAGAATGCCAAGGAGGGTATAATAATATTTAAAGGGCTTAGAGGAATCTAAACAAGGTATTTGTGCTAAAAGTAAGTATTATTTGGAGAGATAAGACTGAACTAGTAAGAGAAGCTTAAAAGTCAGAAAATAGGTTTGGAATAATTTAGCTTATCAGCAAGGCTACAAGTTCTTGAGCATGGCTGTAAATACAATCATATTTTTCTGTTAGTAGTATTCAGGGTAGACCAGGGAAAGGAAAGATCGTAGGTCCAGAGATTTCTGGGAAGTTGTTATATAATCCTACAGCAGGATGAGAAGCCTGGAATTAGGGAAATCACGTGAAAAGGGAAAGGAAATGACAGTTAAAAGACCTACTCTAATAATAAGAAACTACTGTTAAAGATGTCACCACAAAAACAGTCAGTGGTGCTTTTGACAAAAAGAAGAAAATCAGAGGAGGAACTAAAAACATTTAAGAAAAAAAAATGAGAATTTAGATGTTAGATATAGTGAGAGCAGACTTCTTCATGAAAAAGGCTGAAAACACTAGAACAAAATGCTAGTAGGTGTTGATAACTGGAAAAATTTTGCATCTCAAGATCTACAGTAATTTTTTAAGTCAAGATCTAATTTTTCAAGATTCATAGACAGATAGAAATCAGTTATCCAAAGCTGGGCACAGTGGCTCACACCTGTGATCCCAGAAGCTCAGGAGGCTGAGGCAAGACGATCCTGAGTTCAAAGCCAGCTTCAGCAACTTGGAGGCATTTAGCAACTCAGCAAGATCCTGCCTCTAAATAAAATATTAAGTAGGGCTGAGGATGTTGCTCAATGGTTAAGTACTCCTGGGTTTCATCTCAGTACCCCACCCCTGCCCCCAAAAAAGAAAGAAATCACTTTATCCAGTTCTCCAATTCTATGATCTATCACCTTCAAATAAACAAGGGAAAACCAAACTTTAAGCATTAAGTTTTAAAGAAACTTAAATTAGGATATTAAATCTATTTAATTATATTACTTTTAAAGTTTAGTCCTATTCATATCATTTCAATAATACCTAACCATTTGTAAAAGTGTTTGATGGAAGAATATTTTTACCTCTTCCTTCAATAGCAGTTAAGTATTTTCTGGGAAGAGTCCACTCTAACTTGTTCTCTTGATTCTACTAAGTAAACATAAATGTATGCACGTATGGAAACAAAAGCAAACAAAAATCACATTTCTGGTTTTTCCTTTGGGTGTTATTTAATTAATTAAAGAATTAAGGATTAAGAGAAATAACTATTTCCACACAAACATCCAGGTGTGGCATCCAGATCCTTAATGAAATAGGAAAGTCTGAATCCCGGGTGCCTTTGTTTTTCTTTTGTTAAATGACACAACAAAC